GAATGCCCGGAAAGTGCCGTAGAGCTGAGCCTCCTGGGCCTGCCGGTAGCACTGCAGGTCGGCGCCCCGGATCCCGCTCATGTCACCGGCGAGGGGCACGTTCAGGGCGGCCAGGCGGAGCTGGGGAGGGGAGGCATGGTGGGGGGGAGGCTCAGGCACCGCCAGGCATTGAGGTCTCTGTTCCCCCCTTCCCGGGAGGGTGCGAGACTCTGGCAGTGCTGCCTGGGCGCGGAGGGGTCCCGCGGGCACCTCTCCCCCCTCTCCCACGGCTGGGCCACTCGCCTCCCACCCCCAGAGCCAGAGCGTGGCACTGCTTACCGATGGGATCCGTGGGGCGATGGTGGTTGGCAGGATCTGGGGCAGCCCTTGTCCCTCCTCCTTCTGGACCTGGAATAACGTGGCTCAGGTCAGCCCAGGGACACCCATCCCAGTGCCATGGGTGCCATGGGTGCCATGGGTGGAGCACCCTCCCCATCCCAACACGACCCCAGGCTCTGCGTGTGCCGGGCCGGTGCTGCCCTGCCAACAGCCCACCTCCACGGCACAGCCCTCCCAGCACGGCCGGACGGGCAGCAGCGCTCACCAGTGAGTCTGTCAGGGCCAGCGCAGGCGGCCCCGTGTTGGGACCTCTCATCCGCACCTGCTTCGCCTCCTGGATGGAAAGGAGAGGACAGTCCCACGGGGGCCTGTCCCCCCCGGCAGGCAAAGGAGGGCTCTGTCCCCTTGCTGGGATGCGAGGGGACCCAGCGGCTGCCCGCACCCCTCACCTGGTACCGTGGGGTGGAGGCGGAGGGGTCGTCACCGGCGAAGGGCGACTCCGAATCCTCCAGCTGCTCAATGCAACGAGCAGAGGGATGGGTTAGGGGGGAACTGGTTCCTTCTGTGGGCTGTGCTGCCCCAGCGCCAAATCCAGCCCGGTGCTGGCTGCCTGGGATGCAGCCTGGACCCCCCTCCCTGCAAGGGACGCCGAGGGGCGTCCTTGGTGCACCGTACCAAGAGGCGGCTCCAGCCGGTGGGGGTTCGGAGGAAGGCGCTGCTCCCTTCCCGCACGTAGACCAGGCTCCCCTCGGGCACGGCGCTGCCCGACTTCAGCATCAGCTCCTTGGACCTGAAGACCCACGTCTGGCTCTGGGGGGGATGGAGAAGTTCACGGCCCAGCTGCGGTGTGCGGGGCAGCCGGACAGCCTGGGGGGCTCGCCCGTGGCCGCAGCCAGAACGCACCCGGAGATCGGTGCGGGAGTCCAGCGGCTCCGTCCAAGGGATGTCAGCATCTGGAGAGCCCAGAGAGGGTGCGGGGTCATGAGGCGCCCCAGCACAGGGGCTAGATTCTCCCGCAGGCGCTGGCCCCGTAGGGATACGGTGGTGGCGGGAGCCGCGTGGGAGAGCCAGCTGCGGTGCCGGGGACCCATGCAGGGTGGCACAGCCCCGGCGCCCGGGAAAGGAGGCAAGACTTCACAAAAGGTGTTTCCAAGGAAGCTGGAGCCCCCAAAACACCTGAGAAATGCCCTTACCTGCTGGCCAGCCTGCGTTGGCGGCTGCCTGTGAAGGCAAGCGGGGCCCGTTACTGCTGCTGGGCACAGGGACGCCCTTCCCGGTGCATGGGGAGGGGACGGGGTCTCTCTCAGGGACAGCGAGGCTGCGGCGGCTTACCGGCTGCTTGCAGGGCGGCTGGGCACGGATGGGGTAAACCCTCTGGAAGCAAAGACAGGCGGGTTTGTGGGGAGCTGCTCATGCTGTGCACGCTCACACGTGTGCGTGCTCTGGCACAGGCATGTGCACAGCCTGTGCTGGGCCTTACGTTGAGGTAGAGGAGACCTGGTGCTCCGGGAGGTCCGGGGGGGCCAGGGGGCCCGGGGGGGCCGGGATTCCCGGGGGTACCTCGAAGACCCTGCAGTAGAGCAATGTGGAGATTGGGATGGGCTATTTTGGTGCTGCCTTTTGGGGTGGCAGCTATAAGACACCCCGTCGCTGTCCCTCATCCTTCCTGCTCCATTCCCCTCCCGGGCCTGAACCTCCCCAGGCCGGGGCAGCGCGCAGACGCGAGCCAGGCAGTGTCTCTCACATGGGGGATGATCGCTCCGTAAATCTCTGGCTCCTCTTTGCTGCCCTGCAGGGAAAGAGAGAGAAGATTGAGACTGATCTCCATCCTCCCCCTCTCCATCCTCCATCCCAGCAGGGGCTGTGAGCCCTGCGGGGCTGCTGATGGGGTGAGCTGTGGCGTGGGGCACGCAGAGCCGCCCAGGCTCCGGCAGCAGTGTCCCCAAGGCCAGGCTGGGGTCCCCCAGCACCCCTCACCATGATGGGGCCCCACGAGCCCCGAGGACTCACCGTTTGGTACCCGCTGATGGGCACCCAGGAGCCGGACTGGCTGGGGGGGCTGGCTGCTGGTGCTGGGGAAGGGGAGGTGGCCTGGTTTGCACCCGTGTTCCCCGTAGCAGCACCCCTGGGTGAGCCACAGAGAGAGGCACGATTAGAGCCTGTGCTGGGTGGTGGGGATGCGGGTGCATGCTGTGTGCGTGCATGGGTGTGTGCACATGTGCATTTGCCTGTGCCGCAGGGGATGGTGTGACCTGTCACCCCCCTTCCTGTCCCCCAGCCCGTTTAGGAACTCTGGCGGTGCCGCCGGGGCGAGGCGAAGGCTGGCACTGCCCTGGCATGGAGGGGGCGGTGGGGGAGTGGAGGCAGCACTCGGGGCTCAGGTGTTCACACTCAGGCTGTGGGGATCGCACCAGTGCCTGTGGCTACTAACCCGCTCGCCAGGGTCGCCCTTTTCTCCCTGGAAGGAAAGCAGAGAGGTCCTGTCAGTGCCCTGGCTCCAGGGGTCCCCGGGCACTCCTGGTCCCCCGACACAGCGCTGTGCCTCGCTCCACGGGGTAGCACCCGCCATGGAGCTGTTTGGGCTTAGCATCAGCGCCAGGCAGTGGCCGCGGCTGACGCTGTCCCTGTGCCCTCGCTGCCAACACCCGCTGCCCGCGGTGCCCGCTCCCCCTGCTCACCTTGGGGCCTGGCGGCCCAGTGGGTCCATGGTGCCCTGCGTGGCGTGGGTCGCACTGGAAGGAGAGAATGTGCCGGGGTGAGTGTGGGGGCTGCCCCCCGCCCCTGAGCACCCACAGCCCTGGGACCCCCTACTCACCCTGTAGTCCCCCGGCGGGCCTGGTGGCCCCATGGGACCGGGCATGCCCGGGGAGCCTGTCTCTCCGGTTCGGCCAGGGCTCCCTGGCATGCCCGGCAGTCCGTGTTCACCCTTCTCACCCTGCCGGCACACAGCGTGCAGGGTGGTGAGCATGGGGGCTCAGCACCCCGTGTCCCCCCGGTCCCTGCAGCGGCAGGGCTGGGGCAGCCCCAGAGCCCTCCAATGGGCTTGGTGCTGGGGGCTGCTCCCTGCCGGGGCAGAGCGAGGGGCCACTGAGCCCAGCTGCTCCATCCCCATCTCGCTGGCTCTGCTCTGGCCCCAGGGCCACAGACGGGCTGGGCTGGGACCCCCTTACCTTTAGTCCGGGGAATCCCGGCTCCCCTCGGAGCCCTGGTTTGCCAGGGAGTGACACAGGTCCTGTGGGACCGGGGGGTCCTTCATGCCCAGGTACCCCAGGGGGACCTTGTGGGCCTGGGAGCCCTGGTGCCCCTGGGGGTCCATCTGGCCCAGCCAAGCCTGGAGACCCCGGCGGTCCTTCAGCCCCAGGGAAACCAGGTGGTCCCACAGCCCCCGGAGGGCCGGGGGGTCCTGGCTGTCCCTCCCGCCCGGGAGCCCCTGGGGGGCCTTCGTGGCCTGGGTAGCCAGGGGGTCCGGGCAGGCCGGGCAGCCCAGGGGGGCCTGGGGGTCCCAGGTTCCCCGCAGGGCTGGATGCTCCCAGCTGCGTGTCAGGTTGGAGGGAGAGAGGAAAGAGAGAGCAGAGTCAGTGAACCGCCACATCCCATCCCCTGGTGTCCCCCCCTGGGCTGCCCACTCCCACGGCCCCGTGCCCCAGCCCTCCCCATCCCTGCTGGTCCAGCCGGGGATGGACACCGCAGCCAGTGCCAGCATCACCCACCAGCCCTGGCATCACCCACCCGTGCCCCCCACCCCGGCGCTCACCTCATTCTCTGATCCCTTGGGGAGGGCAGCAGGCACGGGTGGGCTCCTGGCTCCCAATGCGCCTGGTGATCCCGGGGGCCCCGGTGGTCCCGGAGGACCTGGGGGGCCCCGGGGACCCTGGTGACCTGGCTGCCCTGGGCTGCCGGTCTTCCCTCTCTCCCCAGAAAATCCGGGCTGGCCTCTCTCTCCTGGGGACCCTCGGTCGCCTTTCTCTCCCTGTCAGGGAAAGACGAAGCCTGGCCCCTGGCTCCTGGCTCCTGGCACTTTCCTCCGCCGGCACCCACCACAGGGACATGCCGCCCCCTTGGCAGGGGACACCTGAGTTGTCCCCCCAGCCCAAACTCCGAAATGAGAGTACAAATCCCAAGCAGGAAAGGTTTTGCATGGCCAAAAGAGCAGAGGGATTTCTCCCAGCGGGACCCTGTGCCTCTCCCTGAGGAGAACCACCGCACCTTTGGGCCGGGAAGGCCGGGAGGGCCGGGGCGCACGGGGCAGACGCAGCCGGAGCCGTTGTGCATCTGGAGAGGGAGAGAGCGGTGAGCCGCGGGATGGGAGCCCCGGCTGCCAGGAACTGGCACGGGCGCCCTGTGCCCACCTCTCACCTGGGGAGCAGGGTCCATCTCCGGGGCCGGGGGCCCCCGCCGGGGCAGCTCCTTCACCGTCGTCTGTGCAGAGGAGAGGAGGGGCTGAGTGTGAGACCCCTGAGCACCGTCCCCGTCCCCCACAGCACCATCCCTGTCCTGCCCTGCCAGCCCCCATCCCCCGGAGCCCCTCGCCTGGGTGCCCATCCCGGGCTGCCCATCACAGCCCCCCCCAGGGACCAGGACCCCTCTACCACCTTGATCTGCAGGAACTCCTCTTCCTCCGCGCTCCCCTCGAAGATCTCCGGGGCGGCTGTGGGTCGGTGCTGCTAGGACAGATGGGGAGAGCTCAGTGCGGGGCTGGGGGGAATCCCAGGGGACACACAGGAGCCTCCCGCAGCCATCGCTGCCCACAGCCCGGGGTGGGGGCCGAGCCCCAGCGCTGCCGTGGGGCTGCGCCGTGCAGGGGGACGCCGGGAGCTGCCGTGGCTCCTTTCCAAGGGAGCAGAGGTGGCTGAGCTGCGGCTCAGGGCTGGAGCAGGGCATGCTGCCCTGCCCGGGCTGCTGCGGCTGTGCCAGCAGGGCACAGATAAGGGGAAGGACGTGGGGAGGGGCCCGGCAGCGGCTGGGGAGTTTCGGGAGGGCTGGGGGAGCAAGGGGGGACACTGCCCAGGGAAAAGCACCTGGCCTCGTGTGCGCGGTGGGGCATGGCCCGGGCCCTTCGCTGCCCCCCTCGCGAGGGGCTCCCGGCGCTTGGAGGCTGTCGCCAGCGGGGGTTTGTTCAGCAGCATCTTCTGCGTGGGCTCCACGCTGCCAGCATCTCCATCTGCAGGAGCAAAGGGGCGATGGGGCGGGAGGTGGCAGGGCTGGAGGGCGACCGGTGTGGCACAGCAATCCCAGTTCCTGGCACTCACTGCAGCCACAGTGGTGCCACCAGCAGCCCAGGACCCCGGCACCCCACACCTCACCATCCAGCCTTACACCAGAGGTGTCCCCTCCTTGCTGCGGTGCAGGAGCTGGGGCTGCCAGGGAAGCCGTGCCCCCGCATCACCGTGCCTACCTTTTTCCCAGTCCAGGGTGGGCACCGTGGAGGCTGTAGGACCAGTGCCTGGATCTGGGGTGGTGTCCTCTGAGCCCAGGGGGTAAAACCACTGGGCCGTGGCAGGGGACAGGCGCCCAGCCAGCACTGAGAGGATGCAGAGCGCATGGAGGAGGCGCTGGCAGCTGCCCGACCCCATGCCGCTGCCTTGGGGCCAGGCTGCCCAGGACAAGGGGGCTTGGCTCATCCTGCTCGCCCGCGCTGTCTTCTCCCACGGCCCCAGCACGGCCCCCGCTGTTATCACGGCGGACCCCGTGCAGCCCGACACGCCCCTCGCCCGCCCCAGCACCCACGCCCCGCAGGCCGCATCCAGCAGGGTCTGAGCACCCATGCGGCCATCACCATCTGCCCTGCTGGCCAGGGGCAAGGAGGGCAGCTGGGAACTGCGGGAAGGGAGCCAGAGCCGGGAGGAGCTGCTGGAAGCGAGGCGAGGGAGGGCCAGGGAGGAGATGCTGCCTGGAAATGGGGAGTAAAACCAGCGAGGAGGGGAGTGGAGGAAGGGCTGGCTGAGAGCTGGGGGCATCGGCCATGGGGACAGCAGCCGGGTGCTCTGCGGGGTCTGCCTGGCCACCGGTGCCTGATGCCAGGAGGAGACCGGCTCAAGCGTTGGCTGGGCTGAGCCCTGGGGACAGGGGTGCGAGGGCCCAGGAGGTGTCGGCGTCCTGCAGCATGTGCGACACCCGTGTCCCGCGGCGTGTGCAGTCACCGTGTCCCACAGCGGGTGCAAAGGGCCCTGTGTCTCGCCGCCTGCATCAGGGCCACCCTCAGCTGGGGGTCTCCAGCCCTCTCTGACCCCCAGTCCGCTTCTGCCCCTGCCCCGCACTGACCTGCAGCCTCTCCCCATGGCTGGGGTCGCTCCAGACCCTGCCTGGGGGAGTTGTAGGGAAGCAGCCTGAGCCCCCATAGCCTCGGGAACCCCAAAGAGCCCCCGAGGTTGGGAAAGACGTGCTGGGAGCCCACAGAGCCCCGGGGCTGGGAGCACGGGGCTGCCCCATCACAGGTGGGGGAGCTGGGCTGCACCGAGTGCTGAGCACCGAGCACCCTCTTTGGCTGCGGGGCCATGATCTCGGGGTGGGGGGCAGCACGGCTGTGGGGTGCACCAGCCCTGGCCCCCTCTCTGTCTCGCAGGATGGTGCTGGGATGGAGGAGCCATGCCTGGCCAGAGGGGGGAACAGCCCCCAGTGCTGCACAGCGAGCGCATCCCCGTTCCCTGCGTGGCGCGCCGGCCGCCAGCACTGCCGCGCTGCCTGCGCCCGCAGACACAACAGTCTCCCCAGCAAGCGCTCAGCGCTGCCAAGGCCTGATAAGGTGCCGCGGCCTGAGCGGGGCCGGGCACCTGTTTGGGTTTGGTCCCCGCTTGGACATCGTGTCAAGGCTGGTGCCTGTGCCCCGAGTCACGGCCACTGCGCGGCAGCGCCAGGCAGGGCAGGGGCTCCGCGGCAGCGCTGGATGCCGATGACTTGCAGGGCCCCTGCGCCGGCTGGGAGGGGAGAAGGGGGGCTGGGGAGCGTGGGGGACACAGACCCTGCCTGCCCGCCCCATGTCTTACCTGCCTGCCCGTGTCCTGCCTGCACGCTCAGTGCTGCCCAGCTCACCTGCACAGGAGAGAGAAGATGGTCCTGGGAGCCCCCGCAGCCAGTGCCACCACTGCTGGCACCCAACCCTCAAAAAGCCAGTGTGAACACTAGATGTACTCACCCATGAGATGAGTTTGGGGTTCTCAGCCCAGGTCTTCCACTGCAGGCTGGCCCAGTTCCTCTTGAGGGGGCTGCGATGTGCTGAGCCCTTTCCATGTGTGGCCATGCTAGGGCACCTTGGGGAGGTGGCTTTTTGTCCACTCGCTGCTCCCCACCTTCCTCCTTCTTGCCTGTTTAATCAGGGCAAATGAAACAAGTGACGTCCAGTATCGCACCCGCACAGGGCCCTGCGCCTGCTCCTGTCCCTCTGTGCTGCATTAAATTCCCAGGCACAACCAGAGCTGGGCCCTGGCGTGACCCCTCCTCCCCGCGCCTCTCTCACGGAGCAGCATGCTGGGGCAGGAGGTGCAGGAGCTGCGGGAGCTGCGGGAGCTGCGGGCTGCTGCTGTGCTGGGGCAGGATCCCTGCTGGGCAGCCCAGGTGCATCCCCTTGTACATCACCGCGGGGCAGCCCCCACCTCCTGGGGCCCGTTTCAAGCTTTGCCCACCCCCGGGAGGCTGCCCCACGTCCCACCCGCTGCACAGAGCCCTGCTCCAGGGCCCCGCAGCAGGACCCGATGTCCGAGTGTTTACAGCCCGTTAAATCGCCTCGAAAGGGATTCAGAGCGCAGTCACAAACCCCAGTGGCTCCCGCTGCTCAGCGAAGTCCTCGGCGGGCCCAGCACGGACGCTGCAGGATGTGGTTGTTCCCTGCACGCTGTGCTCGCCCCGCAGTGCCGCACCGGGCCCGGCTGGCTCCCCGTGTCCCACAGGGTGAAGGTCACCTTCCCGACGGGCTGCATTGTCTCCCCACTGGTGCTGGTTGTGGTCATCTTGCCAGTCTCTGTGCAGCACAGGGCAGCGGTTTTGCCGGTGTTGACCAGGAGCCGGCATGGTGACACGGCCAGCACCTGGGTGCTGCTGTGTCCATGTGTCCCTGTGCATGCAGGACAAAGCTCCCTGCAGCGCGCAGCTGCTCCTTGTCCCATGGCGTGAGTTCAGCCAGCCCCTGCCTTACCCCTGGCCACAGCGGATCCTGTCCCAGGGACCCGCAGCGAGCCGGGGACACGGGGGACAGCCCGTGCCAGGCCTGCCCAGGCGCCGCAGCATCTCACGCAGGGCAGGGGCGGCGAGGCCGTGCTTGTGCCGGAGCTCACCCCACCCCGGGCTGCGTCCAAGACCCCCTTGCCGCATCCAGGCGGGTCCCCCCCGGCCGCCCCAGCCCGGCGCTGGCTGCGATGCCCCTGGGCACAGCTCGTGGGTCAGCAGGCCCCGGGCGATGCTCGGGGACCCGTTCCCCCGGGCACAGGGGCTGGTCCCTGCCGTCTCCCAGCCTCCCGCCCTCCCGCCCGGCCGCCCCTGCCCGGCTGCTGCGGGGGCTGGCGGGGGCGGCGGCGCCGGGGGGGG